TGCGGATCGTTTATAACCTTTTCTCACAGCAGCTGGAATAATTAAATGTACCATTTTGATGGCGGATTGTAATCCAGAAAGGATTATGTGTTTATGAAACATGTGAATGAAATTAAATGATATTCCAGTTTTAAATGTGCTTCCGTTGTTACTTGTTCAGATGACAATATATGGTGAAAATTCTTATTTGGGTCATATATTTCAAGACGTAGGCTAGAATCTGTGATTGCGAAGTACCGTAAATATCCACACCGGTGCGGTGACTGACTGCCACACACATATTCCTCAAAATATTACATTAATCCGCGCTGGAGCCATGCCGGAGCACAACCCACGCAAAGAAGATAATTCCGCAAACAGCTGCAATTACAGGTTTTTAAACAGAGATGATGACAGAGGCAAAACTTACGGACTGCAGCTTTAACACAGTGTTTCCCACAGACTTACACTATGTGTGGCGGCACTTCCCCTGAGGGAAATATAGGCTATATATAAAACAGCAGATGGGCTTATTGAAAATGCACATTCATTCTCTGCCAGCAGGAGGCGCTTTAGGAGTGGCAGAAATAGCGGTTTCCCCAAGTAACGGCTGTAAACAAAGCAGCGCTCCGCTCATAAACGCTACTTTATCAGTCATTATAGGAAAGATTAAATTAAAATGACATTGAAACTTTTCAAACTTGACAGTCAGTTCCCTTCAAAGATACATTCTTACACACCCGCGCCGCATTTTGAATTTGAAACGTGCAGGGCTCATGTTTATTCAACGAAGTCAAAGCATTTAGGAAAATCTATTTGTGGCAGTCAGTATTGATATTGTGGCGCCACAAATAAATCAATGTATGGGAAACACTGTAACATGTTGCTAAGCTAATGAATAATAGCAAACATAGTATGTGAAATTGTTAATTCACATGAATACTTTTCAGTATTGAATAAAATGTTTTTATAAGACATTACTCATTTTCCATTTTGTTTTGCAATGCATTCTGGGATTGCCTTACCGACAAAGCACACATGCAATACTGCCTGATTTGGGCCAAAAGTCACCTAATAAATAATTCTAATAAAGTGTAATTTTGCTACCAACTGTTTGGAATTTTCCCAAAGTGGGCAGCTCAATAAGGTTTAGGACAGAGCTGGAATCATCCAAGTGAATGGATATAATACTGTTCAAAAGTTTGGAGTCAATCGTTTTTTTTTTTTTTTTTAAAGAAATTAATACTTTTATTCAGCAAGGATACATTAAACTGATCAAATGTGTCAATTAAGACATTTATAATGTTACAGATGTTTTTTTTAATTTCAAATAAATGCTGTTCTTTTGAACTTTCAATTCATCAAAGCAATCATGGGTTCCACAAAAATATTAAGCAGTTTTCAACACTGATAATTATAAGAACTGTTTCTTGAGCACCAAATGAGCATATTTGAATGATTTCTGAAGGATCATGTGACACTGAAGACTGGAGTAATGGCTGCTGAAAATTCAACTTTGCCACCACCACAGGAATAAATATATTTTAAAATATATTCAAATAGAAAACAGTAATTATAAATTGCTATAATATTTCAAAATATTACTGAATTGTATTGTTTTGTTTTTTTTTTATCAAATAAATAGCCCGTTTAATATGAGAGGTGAGTCTGAAGGGTCTCTTGAGACTTAAGCGGATGATGGCGGACACAGATATGCAGGGGTTGCTGATGAGGTAATCAAAAAACAGTGTTCCACATCAGTCTGCTCTGTTTCAATCAATAATCTCTCTCACACACACACGGCTAATGGATATATGAACAACACACAGTGAATAAGAAATAGCCGTCTATTGCCAAAAAACCTGGATTCCCTTAATATTAACAAAATTGATTGCTAAACTGTAAACAAATTCAGAAGTAGTGCTTCTTGTACTAGAGCGGTACTTACTTCCTTCTCCATCATCTGTGACACCCAGCACCAGTCTGAGCAGACACTGCGCGTGCTTCCTCTCCTTCAGTAGAACCTCAGCATATCCTGGCAGCCGCAGAAACAGGCCAAATGCCGCCAGTGAATGGGCAGGGATGGGCGACATGGTTTGAACGGAGGATTTGATGGGCGGAGGCTCGGCTGCGATGGTCTCAGGTGCCTCGTAAACGAGCTCCCCGGACTGCTCTATGGTGACCCACTCAAACTGATCGCTGTCTTTTGGCTTCTCCTGTGTGGTGGATGACACCACTGGGGCACTGACCTGCACAGAACGATCCGGACAAACCGACTCAGAGGGCACGCAAATGAACAGAAATGCTGACATAACCTGAGTTCATAGTCACCGAACAAGCACGTAAGGGCTTATGAAGCAGAAATGGAGTGAAACTACAAAAAATTACCTATGCGGTAGAATTTGATTTTGTACAGAGAGCCAGCTTGCAGATATACTGACCTGCTGGATAACGTCGGGGTACAGCATGGGAAGTCTCTCTGCGATGAGTGCCAAGCCGCCCATTCCTGCAAAAACCTGCAAAGGGGACTGGATAGGGCTGGTCTCCAGGAGGGTGTCATCTACTGCAGCATCCAAACCTTCGTCACCCGGGGTCATTGGTTCATTGTCTGGACAGCCGCTTAGCATCTCACAGTGATCTACAGGAAAAGAGCAGAAAGGAGACGCATCATTCAAGCTATTGTCAATAAAATCTTAAAATGTCTAGCTGTAAATAAAGTGGTCTCAATTGTTCACATCATAAACCAAGATGTCCAACAAGCAGTACTGCACAAGAACTCATATCTGTTCTCATAAATCAGATTTATTCCTGTAAATCAGGTTTTTCCTTTACTGAGATTGAAGATCGATGCGAGAGAACGAAGAGAAAGTCACAGGATATATTGTCTGTTAAATGTTTGTGAATGTACAGTCAGAATAGAAATGAAAAAGCACTCAAACCCAAACCTGCTTTAGAGTTTACCGCCGACATCATGTCTCAATTTAAGAAAATTAAATTTCTTTACAGAGACCTAAATACAGCTGACAATAAAACAGAAAGAGTCGAATGCATAAAAACTCCTGTTACCATTCTTAGTAAACATCAAATGCTACATAATTCTTTAAAAAGCTTTGGGGATTTTTTTTTAATGAATTAATAACTTTTATTCTTGAGCACTGAATCATCATATTAAAATAATTAATGAAGGGTCATGTGACACTGAAGACCGAATGGCAAATCCCAGTAACAAGCGGCAATGGTTCAGAACACCGCCTGTGGTTGGAGTGTCTTCCATACACTTCCTCCACAGAGAGATGGACAGACTCCAGGCAGAGAGGAGAGAATTATCTCTGGGCTGGTGAGCATCCTTTCAGCTCCTCGAACGAGGGGTGCGAGATGAAAGTGTGTGGAAAGAAGCAGAGTTTGGTACTCCAACAGTGATTTGACTCTGCTAAGACGGCCAATTAGCCGGAGGGTGGGGTGAGTCCCCCAGGCACCATCACTAAACTGAAAACTTCTGATGCCAGACTCTACGGGTGCCATCAAACGCAGGCTGCTCCAAGACTCCTTCCTGAGCCAAACAAACAAACGAACGCTGTGTGCTCGGAAAAGCCAGTGGAGCGAAGTAAACAAATAGTGCCAGATCTCCACCTCCAGATGAAAATTCAACAGTTTGAGAGCTCACAGTTCAGTCCTGTATAACACCCTGACACAGTGTCTCGACAAGGCACAATGTGGCAACTTTTCAGTGTTAAATCACTTTTTTGTACTCACTAAAAGCAAACTGCTACACTGTCTCTACACCAGATCCGAATGTTGCAACAGGATTTTTAAGCTAAAATTTAAGACCTTTTTTAAGACCTGCAGAAATAAAATTAATACCATATGAGTGGGGTGCGGCAACAATACTACAGGGAGAATCAAAGTTATGCCTTCTTTCTTTGTGTATACATTTGGGCGGTGTTATGCAAATCTTCCCACACAGTGACGTAGACATGTGGGGGCGTGTTTAAACAAGGCGTTTTAGGAGGGCGTGGCCGAGTCTGAACTTTTATAAAGAATATCTCTTTGGGTTTGAGACTTTAGTCTTTGCAACTTTAGGGATCTTATCTATTCACAAACAGTTTGTAACACTCCAAAGAGAAAGGAAAACTTGAAATCGCATCATATGACCCCTTTAACACGAGTAGTTGTCAGATTCATCACTTGATGTTTTGTCGTGCCTGATTAGGACACTGGCAAAATACTTTCTCGTCACAGGTGACATCCAGAGCTCTGTCTGTGCTAGCAGATTCACCTGAGCTGACATCATCAGCTTTAACAGGAACTCTGTATATGTGTGCATGAACATTCACTCATTCCAACAAGGCAGAATCAATCAAGAGTATTGGCAATCCAGTGGGGATGCAGCTGTCAATGTCAGGACGGCGGCTGCTTTTTTGTATCCCTCAGAAAGCATGGACACATCACTGACAGAGCAAAGCAAAATCATCTGACGGTGCAGGACACTAGGGGGAAATACGTGTGAGCACATGCGCATACGCAAGCACAAACACACAAGGCCAATCAGGTTATTTTTCCCTAGGCTGGCAGAAAACGTGATATGTGGGAGAGGGAAGCTAAAAACTACAGAAAAATCTTGGGTGGGAACATAGACTGAGTATCGCAGAACAATGGCAAGAAATCACTTTCTACTGAGTTCAAGGAATGACTCTTATGAGCCGGTTCTTTTTAGTGCATCAAAAACACACAGTGTGACCAATGTATTCTGATTCCCCAAAAAATGAAGAGAGGTGTCTCAATATAGTGATGGTCCAGGCATGACCGATTGCAGAAGTACCAATGACACCACGTCTGCCAATCACGACAGACCAACCGCTACAGCGATCAGGGCATCCCGCCTCCCTGTATATAAACTGCAGCTACCTGCCGTTTCATCATTCTCTGCATATCTCTTTTGCGTATGGAACAAGCAAGAGGGCAATATTGTGAGATACCTCACTTCATGTTATCAGAGAACTGGGGTTCCTTTAGTAACCTAAATTTTTCTTTCTAACATTCGTTCGGTATCTCACTGTGTGATATAGACAACTCCCGTATTGCCGATATGGTGACGAATCAGACTAAAGATGAATATGATCGGAATTAAACCTCTTCGACCCAACTCAAGTGGTTAAAGCAGATCAGTATAGTCTGAAAATTGACACTATAAATGAACTGGATTACCTAAGTGTTTAATGTACAATTTGTCAATTCACAGGACCGAATGGGCAAGTGAAGGTTTTGTCACGTCCAGTCTATAGAACCTCACAAAAGTGTGCAAGGAAGACCAACTAGCCACAACACAAATTTCCTGGATAGAAATGCCCTTAAATAGTGCCCAAGACAGCTATACCTCTGGTAGAGTGAGCTCGTAACTCCTTTGAGGGCTCTGTATTTGCGTTATTGTAACATAACACAGTTGCCTCTTTGATGGGAGACAGGCTTTCCCTTAAAAGAGTAGGCAAACGAAACAAAAAGCTGATTGCTTTTTGAAGTGTCCTGGTTCTTTGTACATACATTTATAGAGTCCGTACCAGACATAAACAGTGTAGCCGCTCCTCCTCTGGACATGAAAAAGGTGGCTCATGGAAAGCCATCAAATCCACGGATTGACATGAACCAGCATGATCGAATACTTCAGGCATAAACACCGAGTTAGTTCTAAAAGTTTATTTTTGACCACCCGGAGCGAGCATCATACATGAGGAGTGAACTGAAAAAGAAATGCCGTTCACTTACCCTTTTCGCTGTAGTAAGAGTGAGTAACAGAGCAGTCTTTAAAGAAAGCAGCTTTAAGGAGATGCTCTCAACGGGCTCGAACGGGGCTTTTGAGAGCGCATTCACGACCATGGACAAATCCCAGGGCGGGACCAGTGGTTTTAATAATAGGTGTAACATAAATAGGTGTCTGCATACCTTTCTCAGTACGGAGTCTTTTGAAGGAATCAGTCTTGGAGAGGCCGGGGTCTGAGATGACCTTTGACCCCAGTTTGACCGTCAGGTCAATGGAGCGGTATCCCTGAGGAAGTTTGCGCTCGTACAGCAGTGTCAGCAGCTGGGCCAAGGTCATCTCCGGCGGCAATGGCTGACCTGGAGAGAAAAGGTTTCGAGTCATTATTGAGTTTATTAAAGCATTTTCAACTGATTAATCACTTTTTTGAATAAGATGATGTGCCATTTTTTCAACCAAATGGCAGGTGAGCGAAACGGAAACCTGTTTGCAAACATTTAACAAAAAAATTATTAAATTTCATGTGGTGCCACTAGTGAAGCAGCAATTAAACACTTCACCTCTTAAGTACTGAAAGACTCTTTACATGTAAGAGGCAACAAGAGATGAGAGAACAAAGAACAAAGCTTTAAAACTGACATTCATCAGACTCTCTGCATCTCTGAATAAATGCAGTGAGGTGACGTGGCAGGCAGACAGGGACAGGCACTGAGGTGACCTCTACTCTCATCCTAATCTGTATGGAGGAGCGAAGGGTGAGAGATGAGGGGGAACGCAGAAGAGTACAGAGTGGGCGAGAGGACCGGACAGAAAGTGAGCGCGTGACAGAGCAAGAGTGTGTGTTTGTACCCGGCAGTAGTTTGTGACAGAGGTGGAAGACAGGCACGCTGATGGTTTTGGCAGACGGATCAACTCCTGAGGAAGCGGCCAGCTTGTCACTGAGGACACGCCCTCGTCGGGACGGGGGACGGGGAGGAGTGGACAAGGCCCTCTTTGACTGAGACTTCAGACCTGAAAAAAAGCATGAAAACGAGATGCAACATGGGTAAACTAGATCAAACTAGATCAAATGATCTCAGTGTTAGTTTGAGTTAACTGCATAGATTGTTAACCTCAAGGGAATATAATATAGAACTCTTCTCACTATGTCAGTGAGAAGATGGGGTTAAACAGTACCTGAGGCAACAACAACACTGTAGTTATCTTGGAAACCATTATCGGCCTTCATCTTTTCTTTTTCCTCATGGTTTTTCTTCTCTTTATCCTCCTTCTGTTCATTGATCAGTTTTGCCGTGATGCTGGGCGTGTCTGAAGGGTAAAAAATGCAAGATCTTTAAATGTTATTTCACAGTGTGTATGTGCATTCTTCAATCAGCCTGCGGGCTCTAAAAATTCATTTCCCTTTAGAGACATATGCATCGATGTACATGTCATCTTAACTGATAATCTGAATTATCTATGGTAAAGATGTAATATGCCTGAGAAGACACACCAATTCATAAAGATAACAACATGCTGTGCTTCCTGTGAGGGTCTTCCATCAGTGGAAGTGATGTGAGCATGAATGGCTCCGAGACAGGACACCCTACATATATACTATGAGTCTCACTGTTTTCTGAGAAAACGAAGCCTATATTTGCCACGCTCAAGGTCTCTGGAGACAAGCCATTTATCACACATACATGCTGATGGCCATGCCACACGGCAGATCTAGCCCTACATGCTTTGTTCATCAGACCATGAAAGTCTGAAGATGTGGCAAAAGCTGGACCTGATTCATCTGATAGACTACCACACGGTGCATGTAAAACGAGACTGCTGGTTGACTGCTGGAAATGCTATTTCTAGTATTTTGACTAAACTGGTGGAAGCTGGTGTAACTATACACAATCACGTGTCTGTTTTAGTAGGCAACTTTGTAGAGTGGCACAGAAACAACATTTTGAAACCAATACCAATGAAATTAGCACAATTACTTGTACCAATTTAGCAGAATAGATATGCTACTTGACTCACTAGTCATGTAGCCTTCAATTATTATTTTTTTTCAATAAGTAAACATCTGTATTCCATTATGTAGCTGCAATAAACATTTACTAAATAAGATTAAAGAAACAAATCAAGAGCAATAAGATTTTTTCTTGTCAACATACACTACCATTCCAAAGTAAGATTTTTAAATATATTTGAAAGACGTAGAAAGATGCTCACCAAGCCTGCATTTATTCTGTCAAAAATGTAGTAAAAACAGTATATGGTGCTGATTTAGTGCTCAAGAAACATTTCTTATTACTATCAATGTTGAAAACCATGATACTGTTTTTCAGGATTCTTTGATGAACAGCATTATTTGAAACAGGTATCTTACAATATAAATGTCTTTACTGACATTTCTGATTAACTTAATGCCTCTTCACTGAATAAAAGTATCAATTTCTTCAAAAAAACAATTGAATCTTACCAACCACAAACTCTAGAGTGGTAGTGTATTACAATGTCTTCATACCTGAGACACGGTCCAATACTTCAGACAGTGTGGTTGAGATGGGCAGATGCAGTTTGCGGAACTTGTGCCCTGCTCCGTACATGGGGTGCTGGATCACATGACTGGTGGCATTAATGCGCCCTTTATACAGCTAAAGCAGAGAAAGAGAAAAACACAAAAACAGATGATCTTGAGATGTAAGATCTTCAAATTCTTTTGCATTCATTTCTTAGCTTCATTTAATTTTCGGTTCTAATCACTTATCTTATTGCTCAAAAACTACTGCAATTTATGTCCCTTCTGCAACCAATCTTATGTGAGTAATCTCTATTTCTCTTCATTGTGAACAAAGAATCCATATTTTCTTTTTTCTTACTACTCTGTATTTTTAAGAGATTTAAAATGGTCTTAAATGTCATTTGACTGTTTAGTGATAACGATCATGATATCAGTTTTTTTAAAACACTATAGCTATAGGGAAAAGCAAACAAGAAATTTGAAAGCAATAGCATTTGGCAAGTCCTGCTGAGAAAAATAAATCAATATATAAAAATATATGTATCTCTGAAGATTCCCACTTTCCACATGGCCGATCTAGACATCTTAATTTCCGTTGAAGGTGGAGCTAAAGGTGCATCGGAAAGGGAAAAATGACATCCATACCTTTGAGAGAACGCCTCGTATCGTATGCCACTCTGGCCTGATCTAATGTGTAAACATTAACTTTTAAGAGCCTCTCTGTTGGGACTCTCTGTGAAAGCCAGATGATTAATCTGACCTAAAACGCACACAGTCCTGCCATAATTTACTGGAGGAACGACCTGCTGAATGACTCTCCGGCTAAAAAAAGATGTCTTACGTCTTTATGATTTGGCAGTCGGAGGAGAGGCATAACTCTATGCGTCATATAAGGGGTGAGCCGGTTATGTCCTCCAACATTTAGATTATGTGAAATGTGTAATTGCTGTGCCACTAGCGGCACCGGACAGAAACGCAAGAACGATTTTCCCAAACTTCTCGTAGTTTTCCACTAAACTAGCTATTTTCTCCAGCTAAACAACTTTGTACAGGTACTCCTAACATGCACCAATGTGTGTGGACTCCTGCATGATTAACAAGGATTTGAGGATAAATCTGCCCCCTAGTGGTCTCCTACAATAACAGCACAATTTGCCATGAAAAGAACTGCAGCTCAGAGGCAGTGCAGGTTTAAATCCCTCTGAGATGATGTAAAGGTCAGGGTAATTTTCCTTGTAAGTGAAGAGGCTTTCCTGAGCATTACAGCAACAGTAATAAATAATTTAACAGACTAACCAAGCAAAACAACTTCTATATAAAATAAAATAACCACTTAGAACAGCAATGTTTCAGCTTTAGATAGATTTTCAAAGCATCTGTTGTGAGTTTTTGCGTGTGTCTGTGTGTGTGTGTGTGTGATCACCTACCGGACAGGGAGACTGAAGGAAGACAGTAACTTTCTCGTCTTCAAGCATGAGTTGTAGGAAGAGCCGACGTATAAATCCAGAGATGTTCCCTGAGACCGGAACGTTCCCTCGCTGAGGAGCCGACTGAAACAGCTCACACAGCACCTTTACAAAACAAAGAAAAATACAGATCACTTGTATCACTGTTATATATCGCCATAACACCCAGCCCTAAAACTTGCTCTATAGTAATGCACCAAGGCATTATAGACATAACAGTCTGACTTTCTGTAAAGCTGCTCTGAACAATGTGAAAAGCATTATACACAAATTTGACTTGACTACGTACTTAATAATACAGAAATTATACTATTATTTAATACATATAATATGAATATATATTTCTTGACGCTAATCTTGGAATCATCAGTTTTGGGTTTAAAAATATATTAAATTAGCTAACAAACTACTTTAACTTTTTTGAGAAGAAAATGTTTATATATTTAATTTAGAATAGCTGAAATAATTTATAGTACAGAAATCATAACATTTTTATTTTAAAGTTATAACAATTTTATTATTTTCTGTATTTTAGTTAAAACTTAATAAAAGTATAATATTTATAACAATAAATAGCAATATAAGGTAATATTAATATAATTAAAACGTTATGACCTAAAGAATAGTTTATCAAGGTAGAAGGCTAGAAGGTATAATTCCACATATTTAAAAGAAATGACATATATATATTTTTTTATTTACACTTAGTTTATTGTTTATGAAAAACATCAAACGAGACTCAAAAAAGCACCACAAACACACCTGTGCCATGAGCCTCTGGTTGTTTGGATGGCAGGAGATGCTTTGCAGGAAGAAAGCCACTGTTGCATTCTCAATGGCTGTCCTTTGCTGAGTGGTGAGTCCACTGCTGCGGCTCGTTGATGCCAGTGAATAAGACGCCCCTGAGGTGTGAAATGCGGCGCTGGCGTGTGACGTGCTGGGTGATGCACCGTGCCCAGAAATACTGCTGCTGCTATTGTTTGCACTGGCATTAGCAACCCCACTGGCACTAGAGTGGCACAGGAGAAACAACAGTGCCGTCCAGAGTGGGTTCACTTCTGGCCCACCCAACCAGTCCTTCATGGTGTGACTGTTTCCTACTTCCGTTAGAAACCGCAATACGGGCGCTGCCAGCTCAGGAGACAGGGGTGGCCTGTTTGTCGAGGATGATGAGGGTTGGTTGTGCGAGTACAGGCGTCTCTCTGCCTGTGTGGAAAATCCTGCAGGCAAGGGAAGGTCTGCACTGACCAACAGGTTGCAGCAAAGGTCGGCTAAGCTGCGAACAAGCAGAGAAGGCAGACCAGAGTCCAACAGCTGCTGGATGGCACCTGGAGACTGGGATGCAGCTGCTAGGGTCACCAACTGGCACTCTGAGAGGGTGACGGGCACAGTTACTGGTGCCCGAGCATGTTTAGAGTCATCTGTGAGGGAGGCGGCACTGTTTAAGTCATGCTGCTTCTTGCCGTCGTCCGTCATGTCCATTCGGCGCTGTGCATTGGTCTGGGCAGCAGGGGGTGCCACTATACCCATCCAGGACATGAGCAAAGAAAAGTAACTAGGGTGGATATGGCACATGGAACAAAGCAAGCTGTCCACAGCCTTCTTTAAAACCATGTTAGAGGGCAAAGACATGGACCAGTTGTACAACAACCTGCAGGAGATGGAGAAAACGTTTAATTATAATTAATTAATTAATAGTTCAGGTTGCCTAAAAACAGCATCATGATTTACTAATGCTCCAAGCTGTTTGTGTTAAAGGCTGAAGCTGTTTTATTTGCACCCTGTACACAGCGAAGGTTGTTTCACTTTGTTCTACTCGGTACGCATAAAGCATTCATACCTGAAGAGAGAATAAAATATAGAAGAGTGTGGGAAAGGAAAAGCAGAATATGTACTCTCAGCCTTTCCCAGTGCAGAGCACCAAAACATATCTCGTACACACACTCCTCCAAAACTCTTGCTTGAACATTTTGTATTGCAAGACTGCAAAAAGATTTATTTTATCAGTGCGGACTCACTCGAAAAGCTCTCCGCTGAGCAATCCGGGCAAGTCGTAGTCAACGGGCAGCTCATAACTATGCCATAAGACGGAGGCCACGCAGTGCAGATGTGACGGGGATGGCATTAGCAACCCGTATTCCCGTGAGGGCGGCGCGCTCGGACCCACACAGCTCGACAGAGAACTCTGCTTCAGGGCAGCAACCCGGGACGAGTCGTACACCCACTGTAGCAGAGCCTGGATCCTACAACACAATCACAAACATAACCCAAGACATCAAGAACCACAAAAAAGTGTGTATGAACCTGTACGGGTGTAAAAGTATAACAGATATACAGAGTGGCTTCTAAAAGACTTCAATACTTGAAATTCATTTGATGTGTATCCAAAAAAGGATTTTGGGGAATTTATTATTGGAATTTATTGGAAAGAAATTTATTGTTGACTTGAAATCGTGTCACATGTGTATTGAAGCAAGCACTAGATCCTCCTTTTTCTCTTTTTTAGAGCTGCAAAACTTCAAGCAGCACTGTGGTTCTAATGATCTGTTAAGCATTATATAGTTTAATAATGTAATGCTAATGTTTAAAGATTTTGTTAATAAATAATTTATTATTATTAAGTTAATAGAGATACTTATAGTTTACAGTTAAAAGTTATGAAGTTATAACAGAAGTTATGCTTTGGGAAACCATAATTATCAAGATTATGTAAAAATGTTATGCTTTGGTAAAACATAATTGACATTCAAACAGTCAACTTATTCAATAAAGTAAAAACGCAGCTTTTAAGACCCACAGGTATTGAGAATCAACATATATAAACAGACTCTGGAAGATCAAACTTTGAACACTTCAAACAAACTCCATTAGGAAGCTTTAAGATTTAATTTTACGTTATGATGTAGGGAACAGACCTGTCTTTGGTACCGGGGTCCTGAGTGGTGCCCAGCTGGTAGAGAATGTCTATAGTTGAGTCTGATGAGAGGCCATTTAACCTCCCAAAGAGCAGCGGACTGTTCAGATCTACAACAAAAAACAAAACCACCACTCAGATAAAAAGGAGAGCCCAACAAAATAATGATGTCAGATCATTAAAGGGGAGAAACTAGTCTGAACGTAGACTCTGAATTTACACATCACACAAATCAGTGTGATACTGCTTGACATTCAAATATAGCAGTCAAGCATTAATGAGAAACAATCTTTTTGAAAATCTTTATAGTCTTACTGGCCAAATCAGTGCCAGAAGCAGCACAGTTACGCAGCAAAATGTCAATGAGTTTGAGGCCTATGCGTGTGGACTGCAGGCCGATTTTCACGAGCACCGCCTCAATGTTGGGCGAGTGCATGCCGCAGTACGGGGACATGAGGAGGGCGGCGCAGGTCTGCAGGAGGTTTGCTGTGGGAGCGGCAGCACTGGCCATCATGGCCTCCAGATCAGAAACGTGAGTCAAGCAATGATGCAGCAACCGTAACCAGCCAATACTGAGAAAGAGAGAAAATTAGATATTATAATTAGATAGAGGCTTGAAACAGGAAATAAAACTACTCGGATTATTTTAGATGTTACAAATGATTTCCAATACCTGGTTTTGGAGACCTGGTCCTCAGAGGGCAGGAAAGGATTGTTTACAGTGGCAGAGGAAGTGTTTCCGAAAGCAGTCAGACCCAGTAGCTTAATCTGTGAGAGGCCCAGTGTGCTGGCATCCCGCGGCCGGTGCAACCTCAAACACACGGCAGATGCCACCTCTGCCTTTACCAGCTGGAATTTAATGTACGTGAGACCACTAGTGACGACTGGGGTCGACAGGGGAAGCATGTTTACACCGTCTGCGCTGATCTCCACAGACACTGAGGATGGGCATGCTGGGAAATAAAGAGAAGCATTTAGTAATACTTCAACTTTTCAAAAGACTTTAGCATAGTCCTTACTAGTGTAAAAAGCTTCATATATGAACCAAATATAATATTGCATTTTGTGTTCACACTCACTAGCGAGGGATGCCAGGTGCGGCTGTATGTGAATCTCTTTGAGCAGAACGGCAGCGGGCAGGTGGATGGTGAGATCACACCAGGCCTCTTCAGGAAGGAATATGTAGGACCAAGCGGCAGAACGGGCCCGTCGATGTGGGGGTGTGGCCTGCAGCAGCACTTCCGCTGGCTGTGCTGTGGGACTGCTAGAGGTGATGGTGCCTGCAAGGGAACAACATCAACGTTGAATATAAATACATTTTAATACTTAAACAGACGTTTATATGAAAAGACGGGGTTATGACTCAAAATAAAGCATGCTTGCTGTACCAAGAGGGGCGAAGTTGTGCAGTCCTTCTGCATTGTCTGGTTCTGAGGTAAGCACTCGTGCTTTCAGGCTGCCATCTGCTGCTTTACCAGGCCCAGAGTCCAGGAACTTCATGATAGTGGACACCATACTGCGTGCTGTGTTCACGATGGCTCGTGTGCTGGTGACCATGTTGTTACAGATGAGCTGCACACCACCTAAATGCACACACACACACACACAAAGAGTCAGAACATACAGACCAGCTCAAACAGAGTTTTATCTCTTTAGAAAGTGTTAGTGTTGGCATACCCATGTCATGGAAGGCTTTCAAAGCCTCGCTGGTGTCAAGCACTCTCAAAATAAACCACAGTAAAGGCTCAGAGAGCTGACATGTTGATAGAGACCCCTGTTTAAAAAAATAATAATAACACTTAACATTGTCATGATGCAATGACAAAGCATATTGATGGCTTGTTTAGTTTTATATTACGTCCTTATATACTGAATGTCTGTCCTCTAAAATGTGAAAATTATTTGAATGCGTGTTCATGTTTTTTTAAGCCCACAACATACTAGAATAGACCATGTTTTGTGTTCTCTCAGTTTGTCTGTGACGAGTCTTACCTGTCGGCCCATATACCCACAGGCCATGTAAGTGAGAATGGGCTGCAGCATGACCTGGACAGATGTGGCTCTTTTACTCAAAGTAGTCAGGATAGTGAAGAGGCCATCGCCCACCGAGATGGCATCCAACCCACCATGAAAGTTCTCATGTTTGGTTAGGTGGAGCCCACTAGCACCTAAAAAGAGAGAAAAAACACATCAGCAAAAGAAGAAATGCATGAAATTCGGTTTCAAGGTTTTGAAATAAGTCTCTTATTCTCACCAAAGCGGCATTTAATTGATCAAAAATACAGTCATATTGTGAAATTACTAAAATTTTAAATAAGTTTTCTATTTGAATTCATTTAAAAATGTAATTTATTTCTGTTATGACAAGCTGAACTTTCAGCAGCCATTACTAGTCTTCTTAGTCTTGTCCTTGTTAAATAAAGAAAGTAGTACCAATTATCATGGCCATGGCACTGCTGTTGCACTGCCCCAATGCCGACAAGATCTGACTCATAATCTGCTGATTGGCCAAAACCAGGTCTGCCACACCCGCAGCTGGTCCCTGGTGCTGAGCTGTGCCTGCCGCCCCACACTCTTTGCTTCCACACACTTTTTCTTCATCAGACACGCTGTCAGTGGCTCCACCCGCTGGAGGCAGCCTCCCACTGAACTCCCGATCACCTGACAGTGGCAGCATCACCAAAGCATTGACCAGCTTCAGGAGGTCAAACATCAGCTGGTCTCGTGTGGTTTCGCCACACACAGCCTTCGCATCGCCGGGGCGAATGATATTGGCGAACAGGCCCCCGAAACAGGCACGAGCACCCACAGAACTGTCCAAACCACTGCGTGAGACCAGCTTATCTGAGCAAGTGATGTAGTGGTGAACCAGAAAGGTGACGGATTCAATGACAGCCAAGATGGTGGTCACAGAAACCACTTCAAAGTTTTGTTCCAGGGTGAACTCCAAAAGCTTCACCTGTGCATCTAATGGACCCTGACCAGACTGGAATGGACCCCTATAAGCAGATAAAATGATAAAAAAGACAACAACCACAAATGATTAACAAGCACCAGTTTAATTACATAAATGGTGAATTAATGATCTACCTCTCCGTTGACAGGATGTGCAACAGTTTAAGCAGGAATTCGCTGAACATCTGTGGACATGTGGAGGACAGGTGCACCTGCAACCTGGTTAAAAATTCCTGCAAGGCTTGTGTTGCAGTGGGGCCGACCTGGAAAGAGAGAGGAAGACAAGTATGTGAGGCATTTACCAAATATATCATTATGAAACCAGTCATGCGCGTAATCTTCATTAAGCTCAATACCTGTGAGCTGTGCTGGCTGGTGCCATGAGGGTTCCCTCCAGATAGGAAGCGCACAAGCACGTGCACAAGTGTGGGGTCAGACACCATCTGCTGGGCTGTGCTCTCCTGCACACCTATCCCACTGCTGGAGGCTGCAGATGCAACACACACATTATAAGCGAGGTTAATCCGAAAGTGTGTCACCAGACTGTTTGCTTTTATAATCAGGTTGTGGAGGGGTAACACAACACGGATCTGCTAAGCTGGCGGGAAAACCCACATATAGGTCTCCCCGTGGGAGCACCCAAACATCTGAGTGCGTCCAGAAACACACCAGATGAACAAAGACAGGCTGGGCCAATCAGATACTCACCACTAGCAGGCATATTAGTCATGAGGGTGAGACTGTGCAGTACAAGACACCATGTTTTCAGAGAGGTGTTGGGGTACCAGGCCAACACTGACAGGAAACTGCTGATGGAGGCTGAGAGACAAGAATTACAGTCAATTATAAGCATTACAAAATCCACACTGAAGTTAATGAGGGAAAGTGAACGATCTAACCCGCTCCTGTGTTTCTTTTGCTGATTATTACCATTGCTCTCCTTATTTTTTTAATGCATTTATTTTTAAACATTTTTAATCTTTAAAGTTTCTTTTTAAAATATTAATCTTTTTCCATCGCATATCGCTTTTTACAATTTTTCTCAATTCATTTACTATTTTTATTGTTGCACTACTTTCTTTGTGCGCAGCTAATCAGAATATTTGCAATGCACCAAATACTGCTTCACTTCAGTAGACATGTTTACATGCACTAATTTTTATCAATCATAATAAATCTAATCTGATTTCGGATTTTGAAAGTTCTGTTAATATGAATCCTAAACGCTGTAATCCTATTCACATATTCGTTTACAAGTGCATTATATATGTTCCAAACAAACTTCAGGTTTGGAAGTAAACATACTCATGTTCATATGACGCGAAATGTATCTAAACATTTTACATATGTGCAAGGTATTTTTGAATTTGAGCGCTTTTCAGTCCAATTCTTTTGGTGTAGGTAAACGTAGGTAGTGAGACTGACATTTGTTAAAGTGTGAAAATTATTTCAGCAGGTTACTAGCTGTATCCTTGGTCATAGTAACACATAAAACCAACTGTTCAATTTAAGATCCTGTAGAAATCAACAGTCCAATCTCCTCAACAATACACTAATACCTTCAGATCAAAGTGTTCTATCAGTTGGTGAATGTCACACCTTGGTTAAGGGGGATTGTGGGCACTCTGCTGGCGTTAAAGAGGAAGATGTCTGAGCCACTCTCCTCAGAGCAGGAACTCAAACTCAGAGTCAACCACAGCTGCAGCAAAGACTCCAACTAGACAGACAGAGATAAAGATGGTGCGATTCTGTAACTTCTCTGAGTAAAAAATAATTCAGGAATTGAGATTTAAAGGGATATTTCATCCAAAAATGAAAATTAGCCCATTATTTACTCACCCTCAAGCCATCCTAGGTGTATATGACTTCCTTCTTTCAGATGAATCCAATCGGAGTTATATTAAAAATTGTCTTTGATCTTCCAAGCTGTTTAATGGCAGTCAGCGGGTGTTGCAGTGCTTCAGTCCAAAAAAAAAGTGAAATAAAGCGCATCCATCCATAATAAAAAGTGCCTCACACAGCTCCGGGGGGTGAACAAAGGCGTCCTGTAGCGAATTGATGCGTTTTTGTAAGAAAAATATCCATATTCAAAACGCAATAATCACTTTAATTTAGCTTGCGCCAACAGTTGTACACGGAAGCAGCTCCAGGAGGATGACGTAAGATGTCGGCATTGCGCGTGCGCCGGTGAGTCTCGTGAAAATCAACGTTTATGTACAGGAGCAAAGGAAGCAAAGTTTCCTTACTTCTCTCCTCTTGGCTTATATCGAAATATTCCGACATTCTTCTTTACAAATCCACATTTTGTACTTCTAATTCGAGACCGTTGCTTTGTTTTGATCTCTCCCCTGCGCTTCCGCGTTCGTCACTTCTGAGCGGCGCATGCGCAACGCAGACGTCTACGTCATCCGCCCGGAGCTGCTTCCGTGTACAACAGTGAGCGCAAGCTAGATTAAATTGATTACGTTTTAATATGGTTATTTTTCTTACAAAAACGCAACGATTCGCTACAGGACTTTGTTCACCCCCCGGAGCTGTGTGAGGCACTTTTTATTATGGATGGATGCTCTTTATTTCACTTATTTTGGACTGATGAACTGCAACACCCGCTGACTGCCATTAAACAGCTTGGAAGATCATAGACAATTTTTTATATAACTCCGACTGGATTCATCTGAAAGAAGAAAGTCATACACCTAGGATGCCTTGAGGGTGAGTAATTCATGGGCTAATTTTCATTTTTGGGTGAACTATCCCTTTAAGGGTAAACTCAGTAAATGAAAGTGACAAATCCAGACTGTGCCCGCACCTGAACATGATGCACTTGCAATAAAGAGAAGAGTTTGTTGAAGCAGGTGCTCAACATGGGGATGGAAGAGGCTTGTACCATCAGACTGCTACTGGGGGGAGAGCTATGGAATCCACGCAAAAGAGAGTCATCTGTCCCGTTTGCAGACTGGGTCACTTAAAAAAAAGAAGAGAAAAAAAGACCATGAGGAGTGGGGACGATATTAGTTTAATTAAGTCGAATCACTTTAGAAAAAACAAAACAAAACAAAAACACATGGCTCCCACACATTTGTACCAGTGAAATTTACTTTAACAATTATTAGTAATTACCAGAAAAGAAAATTTGATAAAAATGTAAAAAAAGGTAGTTTAGCTCACAATTTCTGCAAAAAAGAAATGTTTTAGAACCAAGTCTGAAAAATGTATACTCACTATACACTATTCAAGATTTCATTATTTAATAAATGGATAACTTTTTCAGTGCTGGAAATAATATATAAATAATAAACATTAAAAAAAAAAAAATTTCTTTGATATTTCCAGATTTTCCTTTACTGCGGGAACCCTGTACACATGCTTTTGTTTGTGTACCAGAAGGAGATGTGGACGTTAGCGCCTGCAGTATTGCGTCTGCCTCCAGTGTTGCCATCATCTTCAGCATGAGTTCTGCCTGCTGTTCTAATCCCACTTCCAGTCGAGCGTCCAGTGCTGGGATAAAAAATTAAGGTGCTTTACCACTCAGATTTTATTATAGCTTTTATTTTATTGATTTATTTTGACACTTCTCACCCTGAGACACAGACACTGAGAGGTTCTGAGATCCAGGCTTCTCTGTCGTGGCAGCCGCAGGGGGTTTGGACACAGGTATGCCCACACCCCCTGTGTAGGGGTTATAACTGTATGAGCCGTAGTCAGCACCCCAGTAATCGTACCAGGTACTACTGATCGGCTGCAAGAGAGAACATAAAGAAACAAAAAAACAAAAAACAAAAACAATCTCAGATACTCGTCTCTGAGGAAAAACTGAAAAATACTTTACTGGAAAAGCTGTTAAAACATTGGCTTTGTGTAAAACAGCTCTAAATATTACAACCAAACTAATCGTTAATTACATAATGCATGCAAGATAGAGGTGAAACAGTTAATTGCAGAGTTCACTTCCCACAGTTCTTTATGCATGTTTATACCATGTAACTACGAGAATAAATGTTGTGTGAATTATAATTTGTCTATTTTCAATAGTAATTATTATGGTATTATGGTTATTTTCCATGTTGCTAAATCGCTGTACTTTAAGACATTTCACAATGTAAATGTCTGTAAACAGTGTGCTACATTTTCTAGCAATTGTGATAAGAGCTTTTGCAAGAAAATTAGTAATCGGATGGGTATGAGAAAGTCAAGATGCTAAAATATGGGTTAAGACAATAATATGGGCTATCAATGTAGCCCATATTTTAGCAATGTGCTAAAATAAAACAGTGACCACAGAACCGTGAGAAATTTTAACCATTACACCCCTAATGCTGAAAGACAGAAAAGGAAAGATAAAGAGAACGAGGTCCATACCTTGAAAACCTTGGCGGCGAGTGGATCTTTTTCCAAATCAATATCTAAAGGATCAATATCAACATCCATCAAGTCTTGTAGCAAGTCAAAGTCAATGTCTTTATCTTTTTCCAAAGATGACAGTGGAGAAGCACCTTTGGGCAACGAAAAGACCTTTAATATTGCAAGAGCAGCATACCAAGAGAAGCAACTACACAGACAGCCTTCTTTAGGACGTCCAGCTGTCAAACTTCTCTTAGACCGACAGGGCGCCCGAACAGCGGATTGTTGACCCATTTTGAATAAGTTTTGACATAAATCTAACCCAATAATAAAATGACCAGCAGCTATAGGTTTTACATGTATATAGAATCAAAATCATCTGCACTGTTCCAACCTCCTGTCCACTGCATTATACCACTATTACATATTATAAAAAAGCAAACACAAAAAAATACACATGCAGCTCATCTAAGAGAGGAAAACAAACTAATAAACAACAGAAACAAAAGAAAAGTGAGGGTCCGTGTGAGGTGACGTGCTATTCGGGCGGAGTTACCAACGCACTTTGGAACACAGAGGATGTCCCGGGTGTACCTGCGATGATATCGGGTCCCAGAGGCTCATCGATGGTCTCCACCAGTGGGATGGGGGTCGGCTGGGGGAGCGAGTCATCGGAATCCACCACTACAGAGGAAGAGGCGGCCCCAGCCTCATCAGCCCCCGCCCCCTCCATCCCATCCACACACACCGGAGACAATAGCTCTCCTGCAAACAGTTACAACATCTAAATATAAAACATGGATATGTAAAACATGTATGACAGTCTGTGGGCCACTGAGACAGCTGAGAACATCTAAAACACACACACACCTGTAAGAATGTCCTGCAGCATGCAGGTGAGAGAGTACTGGGCCCAGGCTCCGCCCCATGAGATGTCCGCGCGGTTGAAGTCCGTTCCCACCAGTAACAGCAGTAACCTCTCCAGCTGCTGCTCTGAAACCACCTCACACAGGTGGATTGTGGGTCGTGTTGCATTTGCTATTCTGGCCAATACCTAAGCAGATGGATGAGATTTTGAATTTTTAAAGATAGACATTGTCTAAAACATACCCGATCATTCAAAAATTTGAAGTCAGACTGATTTTTTTTAAAGAAATTGATACTTTTTTTCAGCAAGGATGCATTAAGCTGATCAAAAATGACAGTAAAGACATTTGTGTTTCTATTCAAATAAATGCGGGGTTTTTTTTTAGTTTGTATTCATCATAGAATCCTGAAAAAAATGTAGCACTGCTTCCACAAAAATCAGCAGCAAAATCTTTTTAACATTTTTAACATTGATATTAATAAGAAAAAATTACTGAGCACCAAATCAGAATATTAAAGTGATTTCTAATGCATAATGTGACAATGAAGACTGGAGTAATGGCTGTTGATCTTTCCATCATATAAATAATTTTAGCCCATTTAAAAAAATAAAACAGCTCATTTAAATTGTAATAGTATTTCACAATATTTTAGTTTTACTGTATTTTTGATCAAATAAATGCATTATTTGTATTCTTTGTAAATGCATTCTTTGAAAAAATATATTTTTTTACCTTTTAATGGTAGTGTACCAAAATTAAATAGCATTTAAAAAAGCACACTTTTTTTCTGTATGTCAAAAACTATGTTGCACCTTGCAGACAAACAGTAGCAGGTCTGCGTGACAGGTAAAGTCCATGGAGAGGAGGAAGAGAGCGAGCTTCTGGACGACGCAGATGCAGCGCTCGTGAGATAGCGTGAAGGGCAGGAGCTCCACCTCAGGGGTCTCTTTTGCCACTGACGCCTCTGAGTCCAAGGTAGAGCGTGGCCATTCGGCTGTCCGCCTCAAACGGATCAGATCTTTAAAGTGCTGCCAAAGGAAAAGAACCACAGGGATAATGTTACGATCTGTTCAAAGGCTACTTTTATCACTGAATGTTGTCCCACACCCATCCCTAAGGGACACGGAGTTGAGAAAAGTTTGGATTCTCACCTTGGATGTGGCTTGTTTGAGTTTGGCTTGTTCCACCAGCAGCTTGTAGGAGGAGCCTTTGTTGCTCTGAATTTTCTCTTTCTCGATTTGCTCTACTAAAGCCTTCTGTTTGGCTTTCAATAAATTCAACTGCTGAAATTAAAGGAGAATTGATTAACATCCACACTACAAGTAGAAAGGAAAATATTTCAAGTTCAGATATATAAGCACAGGATGTTTGTGTGAGACACATTTACCTGTTTATGGTGGACTAGCTGTTTGCGGATCTTGCGTGAATATAGCCGATCTAAACTGCTGTTGTTGCCTTTGGCAGATCTGCTTGGGTTATGAGACTGCAGACTGTTGTTTATGAAACTCCACTGGTTCCCTGGTGTGATTGGAAAGAGGAAAACAGACACATTACCAGTGAAGAAACATCTCTATACAGTATGCACACTACCATTCAAAAATTTGGGGTCAGTTTTTTTTTTTTAAGAAATTAATATTTTTATTCAGAAAGGACACATTAAACTGAACAAAAGTGGCAGATGAAAACATATCAGAATGATTTCTGAAGGATCATGTGACACTGTGGCTGGTGAAAATTCAGCTTTGCTATCACAGAAAGAATTAGATTTGATTAGATATTAAAATAGAAAATAGCTATTTTAATTGTAATAATATTTTAGAATTTTGTTTTTAGCATGAGAGACTTTAAAAACATTTTAAAAATCTTACCAACCACAAAACTTGTGGAGAGTAGTGTATACAAAACACTGGATTTTCAGTTTTTATGCTTGTCCAGGCCTAAGAATCTCACCAGTAAAGGATCTTTCTCTGTCTTTAGACCCCAGAGGTTTCTTAGCTGCAGTGGCTTCATCTTCCACACTCGCCACATAGTCGAGTAGTCGAGAGACCAGCATGACCACCCAGCTGACCATGGGGATATCCAACACACCTATAAACACACACAAAACTGTAACATAACCATAAATGCACATTCCCAATTCTCATTCTCAAACACGCACCTTCTGTCCTGCGGGGCTGTGATGCGCTAGTCTGTTGCAGAGGCGATAACAGTGTGTCCAGAAGGTTCAACAAACCCTCTAAAACCCCACTGTTACCCAAAGATCTTTGGCCAATACAGGACAGCAACATAAATACCCTGAGGAAACGACAAGACGGATAAACATGAAGTCTGAGTATCCTCGGGAATAGTTCTGATAATTTTATACAACTTCTGCAAGAGTGTGTTGTTTGTGTTACCTGTCCTGAGGGAAGATGAGCAGCTGCTCGGAGTTGTAGAGCTCCTGCAGGACGTTGGACAAGAATTGGCCCCACCACCTCTCGCCTCCACACAGCTGCACCAGCAGCAGACCTGCATGCAGACGGATCTTAGGAGTTCCACTGATGCACAGCTGTTTAAAGAGCTCCTCACACGCCTGGGCGTGAAATGTGTTCTGCAACACTGAGGGCACAGAGTGACCTGAGCAAGAGAGAGGGAAACATTCATTCTGACATTAAAACTGAAGGACTGGAATAAGGTCAATTCAAATGTAATGTCACTTTAAAAAAGTCAGGTGGTGTTGGGAGCGGCTGCCTCCCTCACCATTACAGCAGTGCAGCAGGCTGAGCAGCGTGTCCAACAGGTATCTGATGATAGTTCTGAGCTGCTCGGTAGAAGAGTTCTGGACCAGCTCTCTGGGGTCGTAGTTCTCGGGCAGGTGTTTCCGGGTGGCTCCCAGAGACACACGCAACCTTTGGACAGCGTGGTGCGCCAGGTTGAGCTGCAGCTGGAGCTGAATGCACTCTTGGTAGGCAGAGAAAACACGGGAATCCTCCTCAACGGCTTTATCGGGCTTGCGCAGGAAGTACTGTGCATTATTAGCACTGTTAAGAGGTGGCAGGTCAATGTTCTGAAGTAGTGTCTCAAGTCGATGAGAGGCCAGATTATACCTATAAGAGATTAGCATATTTAATACAGCATAAATTCCACCTATACCATTTGTGCAAAATGAAAACTTGCATTAAAAATTTTAACGAAATCTTTTAATTATTAGCACTTATTACAGTGTAATTCTAAATACATGACCATTCAAAAGTTTGGGGTTTGTAAGATTTTTAAATATTTTTGAAAAATTGTCTCTTATGTTCACCAAGGCTGCATAATTTAAAATAAACATTTAAAATACGTGTTTTCTATTCTAATATGTGTAAAAATATAATTTATTCCTGTGATGGCAAAGCTGAATTTTCAGAACAGTTTTTCTACATAATATTTTTGTGGAAACCATGATTTTCTTTTTTCTCAGGATTCTTTGATGAATAGAAAGTTTAAAAGAACAGTCAAATTAAATTTTTTTAACGTTATATGTCTTTACTGTAACTTTTGTTCAACTTAACATGTTCCTGCTGAAGAAAAGTAAGAATTTCCTTAAAAAAAATAAAATAAAAACTAAATAAAACTTGCTCACCCCAAATTTTGAATGGTAGTGAATGGCAGCTCATTTAAAATTCTGAATTTGCAGCCTCACTGACCTGCACTGAATGTCTTCCTGTAGGGCCACCATCATTGACAAATGTTGATCCAGATCTGGCTGACTGGCAGCTTCGCTCTCTCCCCTCAGAGGATCATGCATCAGCTTCAGTTCACTTTCCCATGGCAGGATATAGGTGTGGCCATAATAAAAACCCAATGGGATTTTAGCCCGGGCATTAGTGCTGCCATATCGACCAATCACAGTGATCTGGGAGAGGGGCACAGAATGAGTGACAGTGATGTCTCAATATAAGAATGATATTCTCTGCATTAAAGCTCACAGAAAACAAACTGCTATGAGCCCTGTACACATTTGATTATGATAAACGTGTATAAACCTTCATGAATCTGCAGACGGGAGGTGGCAGCAAGTCATGCAGAATCAGCGAGTGTGTGCTGATATCTGTGGCGACCACGAGTCGCCTCCCATCCACCTCCTCCCCAAGAGTCCAAATGTCGATGGAAAGGGAGGCCAAGTCAGCACATGTGGGGATTAGTGCATCCGTCAGCAACACCGGTCGGCCGAAATCTAGAGTCACAAACCGTCTAGCACCTACAGAGAAAAGACATTGTCTTTACGTCAAAGATCACACGATCCAAATATGTACACCAAAACATATAGCCAAAGCAAATGCTAGATTTTGTATATTATTATGAAAAAAAGTTAAGTCATCCTTCCAATTCCCTTGGAAGTTTTCTGGGACCCCTCAGAGGGCCACAAGGTTGAGAACCACTGCTCTAGTGTGAGGGCTAAAGTGGCAAGTACCTGAATGCATTCGTTCGATTATTATGGACTGGTGTGGTGGAGGTTGTAGAAAGTGAGAGGCCTGTGAGATTGCCAATGCCAGGCCACTTCCTATGGGGTTCTGCAATGACAACACACACACACACACATACATACACATTAGCTGAACACAACCCACAAGTTTAACTACAGAAAGTAAATAAACAACACACAGCCCCTTACAGGAAAATAACATTTATGCTACATTACCAACTAGCCTCTGCTACTGTGCTCAAATTTGTCACTAAATCAATTTTGGAGGATATTTGATAAATAATAACAATAATAATCATTTAAACAGTATGAATATACAAGCAGAGGAGGTTTTCAAAACTTACTGGTTTGGCTTTCTGTGTGTTTTTATTCTGTGCTGAAAGGTTCACAGGTGGAGCATCAATGACAGATCCTGGGAAGAGCTGAGCCAGTTCCACACCAATAGCCGCAGACACTGCCTCATTCGGTGGGGTGAGAGGAGGCGTCATGAACAGCGGTGTAGTTTTAGGGGTGGGCGGGATGACGTCAGAGGGGTGGATGAAGAAGCCTGGGGCAGAGGATGGGTTGGATGGCGCAGAGTTGACAATGCCTGATGCTGCGGTGGCTGCCGCTGAGGTGGTTTGGTGAAGTTTGGCCTCCAGCTTCGCCTTCTGTTTCAAGAGATAACCAATTACATAAAGTCATAAAGTACTGAATTAATCGAGACATCAAGATTAAAATGAATAAAGAATGCATTAATGTATGACCTGCTGCTGGAGTTTCAGAAGCTGTTGCTGCTTCTCCTGAAGAACTTGAAGCTGCTGTTCGGCAGACACCATTGCATGAGACAGAGACTGCAGGGCCACCTGTGCAGCTGAGCTAAGGGCCGTTGACGCCTCGCCAACCGTCCCAGCAGACAGCCCTGTCATTGTGGGTGTCACGCCAAAGGTGCTCACTGTAGAAGATCGTAAAGGGAAACAGGCTTTAACACTAAAGGTGCAGTCACATTTACTGGTGCTCAGCGAAATTTTTCATGCAAAATTCAATAATTTAAATAGAAATCAGATCAAGTTTCACATGACTGTCAAAACGTTTTTGCAGATTTTAGGAGTTGCTTGCTTGGCTGCTTGGTTTGAAAGTGACATTTGTGTGAGCTGTGCTTCATGCTACACTAGTTTCTGCAAGTGACCACACCTTAAAAGATGAGGTCCATGATGACACACAGTTAGTGGTAAAAACAACAAGATGTGAAAGAGAGGAAAAGGAAAGTGGGATATATACCGGTGAACATACTTGCATCATCCCTCTCCACCCTGGTGCCATCACTGGTGGAGACGCAAGTAAAGTGCAGGGGTTCGACCTCCAGCAGGCCGGTTAGAGCAGTAAAACTGCCCTCTGCTGCCCCACTGCTGTTCACCTTCCCATTACCTGACATTAGACCCAAAAACCATTAAATGTTTGTCTTTCCAATTTTGATATTTATTGATGAATGTAAGTGCATGAGGGAAGAATGCATTGGCACACCTGAGAGAATATCGGACAAGTCAATCTCATCCGACTGGACCCCAATGCTGCTGTTGTAGGCATTCTTACAGGAAGACCCGCTCACCTCCAGGTCAAACAGTACGGGGTCAAATGGAGACCCATACAGACCATATCTGAATAGAGATGACCATGACAAAATTTCATTTCCTTAAAACGATCACTTCTACATGCTCAGAAAAAGCTTTTTTGAACAAATAAATAAAGCTGACCTGGTCTGCAACAGCGCCTCAAGTGGAGTCAGGCGGTCTTGCAGCTGCCGAGAGACAGCAGTGAGCAGAGAGGCGCAAGCGGTACTGCAGTCGGCCAGGTCCTCATCTTTCACATAATTTAACAGGACAAAGTACCAAAAGACAGATCCTGAAGGACAAAGAAAGACAGGAACACAAGCGTTTTAACATTTTAAATTAAATAAGTATCAATTTTTTTTAATACTTAAGAAGTTAATACTTTAAGTATTGTTTAATAAATAGTTTAAATTTTTGGAATGAAACAGTCTCATCACTATAACAAATATTAAAAGGCACTATACATTTACAACTATAAAAAAAAAATTACCTCCTGTGGCAGCAGCAGGCAAATAAGGCATATTATCCAGAAGAGCTTTAAACAGAGCCTGGCCAAAACCCTGCTGACTGGGGTCTCCTTTACCGGTACTAAAATGTGAAAGACATTTATCCATTAAGCTTAATGAACAAGACACCACTGTATCTGCACGTTAACTGGACAGTCTAGTTCATCAGTTCTACAATGAGACTATAATAAGACTGAAGATCAGAAAATAGTGAGGCTGCAAACTCACCTAATACAAAGTGCAAGAAAGCGAGAGCATTTATGAGCTATACTGCGTCCAGCCTCAAAGAAACATGCCCTGATGATGTCTGTCAGCCGTCTCCTAGTTTTAGTCAAAAGCCCCTCCTTTCCCTCTCTCAAACTAAAGGACAAAGGATTATAAAATTCACTAAAAGAGGCAAAAGATAAAACTGAAAGACTAAAAATGCAGACGCACAGTGAAGCCTCACCTGCAGGGTCCGTTGGAGTAAACCCCTGCCAGCCAGCAGAGGATGTCCAAAATGAGACTCTGACAGTGTTCTGAACTCTGCCCGTCTTCTCCACGCTTACACAAACCTCTTAGCAGCTTTTCATGGAGCTCAGGAAACTGAAGCATTGCACAGCGTTGCACTCTGGGAAATAAAAGCAGACAGACAGCACATTCAGACAATGGGCTGGCTGTTGTATTCCTTAAAATGCATCACTGAAACAGGGTAATAATTGCTTTCTTAATGTGCAAACTAACACATGCATACACTACCGTTCAAACACTTGAGTGTCAGTAAGATTTTTTTTAAAGGAAATGTATATATTTATTCAACAAGAATGCATTACATTGATCAAAACCGACAACAGAGACACTTTTATTTTAACAAAGACATTTTTTTATTATTTCTTTCAAATGCTGTTCTGTTGAACTTTCTATTCATCAAGGATTCCAGGAAAAAAATTATCTATCACCACAAAAATATTAAGCAGATCTACTGCTATTCAACATTGATAATAAGAAACTTGAGCACCAAATCAGCATATTAGAATGATTTCTGAAGGATCATGTGACACTGAAGACTGGGGTAATGGCTGCTGGAAATTATGCTTTGCCTTCACAGGAATTAATTATATATTAAAATTATATTCTGTCCAACTGGTTGGTCTCTGAGCAATTTATCTAAAAACAACATATTATAGCCTATGGCCCTAAAGACTTTATATAAAACATCAATGTTATGTCATAATATGTCAGACAGATACCGCAACTGAATTTAAAATCATTGTAATAAATTCTCAGTTGGTATGATGGCAATAATAAGTAACAACTCCTCAAATCAACATCAAATGTAAAAATAGATGTAAATTATGCAAGATATAACAATAAATGTTCTAATAGTATTGCTTATTGGGATTTTTTTTTTTAATCCAGAGTTTTCAGTTCTGATTTTTTTTTTTTATGAAAATCCACTTAATATTAGCTATACATTCAATGGCACTCTTCTCTAAAACAGTGAATATACAGTTATATGACAGTTACATGTAATTACATTGTCTGCAAATG